AACAGCTACCAGTCGCAGTAGATGCCTCCTCTGCGTGGCTACGCACGCGGTAGATAGGTGCTGCGGCTGGTTAGCTAGCTCTTGTACTAGCGGTTGACTCCAAAGGCCTACAACAGCTACCAGTGCAGTAGGTGCCTCCTCTGCGTGGCTACGCACGCAGTAGATAGATACTGCAGCGGCGGGCTAGCTCTTGTACAGGCGGTTAACTCTAGGGGCGCGCATGAGGCTCGTTCACGCCCTCTCTGCGTGGCTACGCACGTGGTAGGAGTAAGCTTCTTGTACAGTAGCAGTTTTATTAATTCTTGCAAATCTGTCTGTTAAGGATAATATCCTCTGCGTAGCTACGCACGCAGTAAATAGTCTATTAATAGACTAATTAGTGTTAGTTAACCTAGGTTTAATTAAACAAACATACGCCTAAGGGGCGTACTAAGAGGTAAGTAGGTAAAGATCTTCTTATTATTAACTACTGCCGTCTCTTTTTATATAAAGAAAGAGTGCTTTTAAGTACACACAGCCCCTAACGCACAGGCTAGATAGCCAACGTTTCAGGCAACCTAATTCAGCTGTACGCGTGTACGGACGCAGCTGTACTTATGTACAGACATCTTATTTCTTTAAGCTTAACTAACAGGCTCTTAAAAACACTGTTTTTAATATAGTGTTTTTTATTAATCTACTTAACTTTACTTAGTTAGCATAGGCTAACATAATAGTTATATTATAAGTAAATACTATTATTTAGTACTTTGAAGTATAAGTCTTTTTATTATAGTATAATCTAGCTTAATTAGCTCTATTCCAGCTCTTTATAGCTTATAGTAAAAATAAAATCCTATATAATAACTATCTATACGCGCATAGTAGTGTTATAGGTAAAATTACTAAAACTAGAGTTGTTTTTAAGAAGCGCGCTTACTCTAAAGCTAATGTTACTAAAAAAAGAGAAGAAAAGTAAAAAGCACTTAAAAAAAACTTTAATAAAGATAAAGCTACTATAACTTTATTTAAAAAAGTAAGTATACACTATTCTTAACTATTCTAACACTAACTAGTATAATAAAAGAAATATAGTGTTAAAAGTGTCTATGTTACAAAAGCTAAGCAACATTATTATGTTAATGCTGCTAAAGCTGCTAATGTAATCTACTACGTCTCTAAAGAGCATAATAAGGCTTATAATATTAAGAATAAGGCTAGTTAGAATTAAACCTTAGCTAAAAAAAGATCGCTAACTAGGTATAATAAAAAATATCTTAATAGTTATTTGTTACAATATCTACTTACTTGTCACGTGCTGATGAGGACGTGCGTTGGGTGCGCAGGCCTAGGCTAGGAATAATGTTAGAGTTATTAGAATAGGTCTAGCTAGAGTGTACAGTCCTAGAGTAGAGCCTATAAGAGCAAGAGTAAGGTTAGAGCTAATTATAGTTTGTCTCTTAAGCTGTATAAGAAGCAAGAAAACAATCTAGTTAAGATAATAATTAGAGTGTATATATATTGCAAGGTATACAAAGCAATAAATGTCTTTAAAAACAGTTATAGCTACTTAGTCTTATTATAAAGATAAAACTAAACTTTAATTACAACCTTCTAACTATAGTTAGAATTAAGACTATATACTAGATGTTTAGTTGCAATAGTTGTAGTATTTGCAATAGTCGTAGACTTATTTTGCATCTAATGCGTCTACTGCGTCCACCAGCGTGGCCAACAGTCTGTAGTACGTAACGTAACTACGTGAACGTAGTAATCACGTGAGGCGTACAAAAGTAGTTAAAATGTAAGATGTAACTTTTGTACAGTGAATTGCCAAGTACGTACTGTAGTACAGGTTAGAGAGGTTATATTTTAGGAGATTTCTCTTCTGTTTTTAGACTTTATTAGCTATTGCGTTAGAAGCTTTGTTTAAGGTTATATTTTAAAGTAATAATTAGATAAAACTTTATGTTTTGTAGCATAGTAGCCTAATTAGTGTGCTAAGTAGCCCCCTATAAAAATAGTTAACTTTTGCTCTAGAAAAGCTCCTTATCTTATTAATTATTATAATAAGCTAGATGTTTTAATTTCTTTATTACAGCAAGTGTACAGCCTTATTCTAATCCTTCTGCTTATTAGAGTTGTTTTAATAAGCTAAGGTGCTTTATTACACTAGCTTTTATTATCTTGCTAAATTAAGGTTAGCTCTTTTAGAGTTGTTAGTGCCCTTAACTCTAACTCTAGCTTTAGGTAAAGATGTATTCTTTTATAATTTCTTAGTAGACGCGCACCTTAACTCTAGAGCCTCTTTTATAATAGAGTAGAACAATGTTTAGCTAGGAAAAAAGAAGCTAGTGCTAGAAAGACTTAGCTATTAAGTAAAGCACAAAAGTTAACTCTGTAGTAATTATTCTATCTCCTAGGTCTAGCGTTACAGGGGGGATTTAGTGTATAAGGACAGCAACAGCACTATTCTTAAGGTGTAGCTTTATAAAAGATGTTACCTCTAAGGGCAACATAGAGCTGTAAAAATTATTAGTAGTTATAATTATATTATCTCTTATCTCTAGAAAAAGCATAAAATTAATGCTAGTAGAGATTTTCTACCTAACAGCCTAAGGCTTCCTGCTAATCTTTTTAAAGCTATAATAAAAGTAGCTAGATCTACAAAAATTATTTTTTATAAAGCTTAGCAGAAGAAAGCTTTTTAAGCTGTAGTAATAGACTAGGTTATTTTTTAAAATTAAACCTTTAAAAACACATCTTTAGCTAAAACTTATAAGGTACTTACTTAGAACTGCGCTAACCTTTTTAACATTATACTATCTTCTTACACTACACTCTTAACCTATATTTAGAACAGTCTAGTGCGCTAGAAGTAGAAGATTTAAATAATACTAAGATTAGCTTATAGTAAAATTACACTAAGTGTTAATATATAGAATTCTTTAAACTACTTATCCTGCCTAGGGGTAGTAGCTTATTTTTTTAGTATGTACTAGTAAAACCTTAGCCTAGCTGCGTTAGTGTAAAAATTAAAACTACAACACTAACATCCTCTACATAGATGCTAACTACTAGCATAGAGACCTTCTTATTAGCTTTAATAATTTATCCAGAGACTACACTAGGAAGAATTAAGCGCTAGAGATTATTAAGGTGCTTAAGGACTATAAAATTATGTTTAAATTCTATTACTATATTACTAATAATATATTAAATAATAATGTAGAGACTATTACAACTTTAGCTAAAAAGCTTTACTTGCCTTTTACTACTAAACACTGTATCTGCTGCGCTAGCTATATAATTTAAATTATTATTAAAGTAGTTATATACAGCTAGAGAGTCTCTACTTTTAAAAAAGCTCTAGCCTAAGCTGCTTTAGATAATTAATTTAAGCTATACTAACAGTAGGGTGTTGTAGGCAAGTTACATAACTTTGTTAACACAGTGCTAGCATCTTATAAATAATAATTAGCCTTTATAACTTTTTAAGCTTTACTCTTAGCTAATAATCTTCTCTAGAGTTTTAGCACTTTTAATTTTATTTAGAACAGTAAAGTATACTAGCACAGCATATATCTTATGCTTTTACATTACTATAAGTTAAAAGAGCTTATTAGCAAGTTTTTATGTAAATAATAAAGTGCTAACGCGTTAATAGCTGCTACCTTTTATAAAACTATTTTTAAAAAAGAGTAAAAGAAAGTTAATTATCTTATTAAGTTTCTTTAGTTTTTCTACTTTATAATAAAAAGACTTAAAGGTAATAGCAAGTATAGCTTTATCTAGATAACTATAGTTAACCTCTAGCACCTGTATACAGAGCTTACAAAGATAGAGGAGGAGCTTAAGAGTAAAAGTAATAATTACTACTTTAAAAATAGTGTTGTGTTTAGAATCTAAAAGCTAACCTTATACTAAAAGAAAATTATTATAAATCTGCTTATATTACACTACACTGTTACAACTATTTTTAACTTCTAATTATAACTTATTTAGTTTAAAGACTACTAGTGTAAGCACCTAGCGTAGCATAAGCAAGCTAAGGCTTTAATAAAGGTAGTTTTTTAAGACTATATTAATAAAAACATAAAAAGTAATAAGAAGAAAAAGGATCTACAACTTTACTAGCGCAAGCTCCCTAGTAGTAAGTATTATAATAAGGGCTATAAGTAAACTCTTTCTGTTAACATAAGCTTTTTTATAGGCTTAAGGTTATACAAAAAACAGTAGAAAATAATAAAGCTTTAATAATACTATAATAGCTACATTAAAGACTTTTCTATAGCTAAGAAAGAATCCCTACTATTTTAATTACCTTTTACTTAGTAGCTTAAAGTTAGTTGTTACTTCTACTTTACACTCTTTAAAATTACTTTTAATTTCCTTTATATACATTTAACAAGCTGTAACTGTAAGAGAGCCTTCTCTAAAGGCAAGAGGATAGTTATAATTAATAAAAACTGCTTAGCAGGTTGTATAATTAAGGCTCTACAGCTTTAAAAGAACTAGTTATATTATAGGGCTGTAGAGAGTAAATTAACTACTCTAGAGGACTTTATCTAGGCTAAAAAGCTTCTTCTAGAATAATTTTAACCTAGACTAATAAAACTTCTTGTAAAAAGTATAAAAGTATAAGAATTTTAAGAAGTTACTGTTATGTTATGTACTTGCTAATTAATTTACTGCTTATGTATAAAAGTACTACTAAATTAAGAAGTTACTGGCAGAAAAAAGCTTAAACGTAACGTACTACATACTGTTGGCCACGCTGGCGTCCACTGTGTTCAGACTATGCCTAATCTGTATACTATGATCCGATAGTTCCGGCTGGGCTTCGCCAAGCCTTGTACTGTGTAGCTAAGAGGGCTGTCTACTAATAATGTTTGTATAACTCTAATGCCATTCGACACTCGCTTACAGCTCTATCCTAGGTTGTAATATTATTCTGCTGTTGCAAATTCACCTACAGAGGATCTTAATGTCTAATCTGTAACTGTTTGCAGTAGTCACACGATAGTCAGATGCGTCGTCACCATGGTCGCATGCGTCGTCACCATAATCGGATGCGTCGTCACCATAGTCGTATGCATCTCACCATGGCCTGTTGCCAAGACTCGCCTACTTATTTCGCATGTATATAGACTCCTACAAAGGACTCCTCTAGCAATGAATTCAATCCAGTTCCTCATGCCTCTAGTGCTCTACATAGCTTCACAGTAACTCTAATAGCACAATCTAGTGTAATCAGCACATCCTATAGTAAAAATAGTTAGAAATGCATAGTATAGTGTAGTTTTAGGTTCTTTAGCTTAAGCTTCTTTTTTATCTTAATAAAGTTAAATACTCTTAGATTATGTCTCTTAGACTTAAAGTGTAACTATTTTAGTAGTAAGAAATTAATCTGCTTTTAGCCTACTTACTTTATAGCTTATTTATTTTAATAATGTTAAAATGTTTTACTAGAATTAAACTCTGCTCTTTTCTTACTAGTATAAGCTATTCTATGCTAGAATGTTTATTTCTTCTATATAATAAATTTCTTTAAGCTAAAATAACTCTTTTCTTAACTCTAGTAAGCTATCCTATGCTAGAATGTTTATTTCTTCTATATAATAAATTTCTTTAAGCTAAAATAACACTTTTCTTAACTCTAGAAAGCTATTCTATGCTAGAATAGCCTTACTTAGTCTAAAAAAGAAATCTTAGGTTTAAATAAACTATATTATCTTTGTATTTCTATAGCGCTATTAAACACCTATTATTAAAAAAACTTTAAGTAAAAAAAAATAAGGTAAAGGTAGCTATACTTAATTTATTAAGTTACTTTTCTTTTTCTAAGAAGTTTAACCGAAACTAGTATAATTTAATCTTTTACTATATATTTCTTTACTTTTTTAGAACGCTTTTAATACATTTAAGCTTATGTTAGGTCTAGGTTTCTAACTATTTCCAGTTTTTACTAATCTTCCAATGTAAGTCTTTCTCGTGAAGCTATCAGAATATCAATGACGAAATGAACAGAACAATGCTAAAATGTACCTTTATTGAGTACAAAACTCATTTAACGGCTGCACAGCAACACTAAAACATGTTATTATAACAACTAAATACAGCAACAGCAACTGTGATGAACATGAAGGTTCTTCATTCAATTGCGGCGATAAGGCAACTGCTGCAAAAGGTCTCAACGGGGAACTGATTCAGCTCGGCTCTACCTCAAGGCCAGGGGCATGTCCAAGATGTCTATCTTAATACATTCGTACACGGATATCAAATGTCATACCTTTGATATCCTTGTACACGTCGGCAACACTCTTGTATTTAACTTGCCAGCATTTTCTGATAATTGCCCTCAACGGTCTAAGTGTGTCTGTTTCGGGAAATTTGCCCTCTTTGAACAGAGCCGTGACATCTTCGGACAGATCTTGATATGGTAGTTTTCCCGTCATGATGGTGTAATGCACAGAGCCAAGAGAGAAGATGTCAGCATTGGTGGACAGCAGGGGTCCAGGGTACCGGTGGCTGGCGTGTATTGAAACCAGCAGGTTAGAGCTGTCTAGAGAAGAGCCACTAAAATCTGCAAGCTTTATGTCAAGATCTTGGGTTAAGAAGACGTTGTTTAGAGTCAAGTCTCTATGAATAACGTTTGCAGCATGAACAAAACAGAGAGCATCTGTAACCTGACGTGCCCAACGTAGTCCCTGCTCAATTCCAATCTCAGGGTGTCTGCGAAGGAATGATGAGAGGTTCCAATTTGGAGCGAGTTCAAGGCGGATGCCTGAATCTTACGGGCCGTGGTATCGCAGGAGTCCACTATGCCCGCCTCGCTGGTCGAACCGCTCGTATATCGTCTTCTCCACCTGGACTCTGCGGCAATTGCCATTATTGTGAGGGGTCTTTATAACCGTCTGGGAGGCCGCATCAAGGCACACCAAGCCTGTCGTGCCCCAGGCGGCAATGTCCTGTTCTCCAAATCCTCTTGGGAATTGGATGAGGTCAGCCATATCGAGAGTAAGGGGGCCTGTGCTGGATTGATCGTGTGGGATGAGTAGGCGAGACTAGCTCACCTATCGCGAGATGGATTGGGGTAATCGCAACAGAAGTCGTGCGGTGCAAACGGAGCTCTCTCTGAGAGAGTCGAGAATAGAAGGCTAGAATCAATAACTTGTCTGGAGCGTGTAGCGATACTAATGTGGAAATGCACGGAAGCATATAGATGCTTTGTCAAAGTTCAGACTCAGGAATGCGCAGAGAGCCCCACCATGTGCACAGCCACAGATCGACCGCCACGCGGCATAAAAACGCCACACAGCGAGGAGGGCGAGAAGTGTGGATAGTGTGGTGTTAGAGGGAAGCGTGAGGGGGATTGCTACGGGTGGCGTGTTAGTATTGAGGTGGATGGATGGGTGAGGTGCGTTCCGATTATCGGAATGGAATGGAATGGGAAGGGAGGATTTACTGTTTCCGGAGACGTTTTTCACGAATATTTGCACGGTTTCCTCAGCGCCGGTGCTGGAGGTGGAGCTCATGCTCGAGATGCTTGACGTGCGCCTACAGCATACACAATGCCTCGAGATGCGCAATTCTCGCATCCCCCTCTTCGAAACCATGGGTTCGGAACAATCCAAATAGTCTCACAACTTTAATTGAACGTCGATCATCTGCCGCTTGGAGGCAGCATTCAGCTCTCGGGTTTATGGTTTGTTGCTTTTGGTCATGTAACCTTAGATAGGCACGAGTTATGAGAGGAGTCATGTATTGTGGACTGAGGGTCCGAGGAGCTATATGATTTATATAGTGTTGATGGACGCAAAGCCCAAGATTGATTGAGCAGCCCTTCGGCTTACCCAGCTGGTACCATTCCCTAGAACTCCCCAAGCAAGGGGAATACCCATACTCCGTCTTTTCTAAGACTCTCTCTCTATTGCAGTGAAATGTCAGCATTGCACCGGGGATTGATGCAAGAATGAAGCTGCAGGCGCACAGCGTCTAATAAAACTCCTATTCGTTTGTTTGCCGACAAACACCTCTCTTGCAACCTTCGCAGAGGCTGCTCTTATGGGGTGGGCCTCCTTTATGGTTGTAGGGACGCCGCTCCATGGGAATGTCAGCCCATTTCTTAAGCCTGTACGCGACTCGATCGATATAAGACTGCTCGTCCAGTATTAGGGTGCCTAGCTGGTTGCAAGACTTGCAACGCTGACTAAACACTACAGCGTTGTACCCAATCCCCGGAAATCCCCTTATCAATATGGCCACCTTCTTGCTGCCCCACCCATCTTTAAAACAGGAGTTGTTGTTGCACTCGAACTTTCCCATAACGTGGGTTGGGTGTTCGTTGTTAGAACCTCTGTCACTATCGTTTGTGTGGAACGTTGGTGAAGTGATCTGGTCAGATACTGCGTCTATAACGTCCTGGTGGAGCGACGGGAACATAAAAGAGGTCCTTGTCTCTCCCTTGGGTTTGGAGAACTTTTTCCTTGCCATTTTTGGTAGCAGAACGACCGTGCCTTGAGTTGATGCGGTGAGGTTGTCAATGGAGAGAGTTAGAGGATACAAGACAGGAGAGGTACAGTAGATACAAGGTGAGAGGAAAAGTCGATTATTATAAGGTGATGGTAGGTAGGACAGGTTGTAAGAGGAGGCGCGTGCACGGGAAACTCTGTTTGCTAGAAGTGGGTCGTAGCGGACAACTACGCCATTGGACAAGCTAATAGCTGAGACAAGCTGGCAGTGAAGTATAAAGACGCAGTGAGATGACTCACTTGTGTGCAATCAGTATGCATTGGTTGTCAGGGTAACTTCATACATACGCACAAATTAGGAATTTTAATAAAGATAGGATCACACTCTGCGTACTGTGACGGCCTCATTAGGTTTGATACTATTACCGTCATTTTCAAGTCGGCTATGGCGCACGTGAAACTATGTCACACGTGACGTAGCGTTTGATTTTATTGTTAGTCAGCGTCACACTACACTCTTGGTACTAGCGCTTTCCTTATAAGACTAGCGCCTTTCGGTTATTTGCCCCCGCAATATTCGCCACCTTCGAGTCCACCTTCGTTATTAGTATCTACGGGCAAAATGCTTCCACGGCTTCGGCTCGGCTTAATCACGAAGGAAAATGGTCGCATGATTGCTAAACATGTGGCTACGTCTTTCCGCACTGACAGACGGGTCAGCTTTAGCTAAGTTGCGTGGAAAAGCTGCACTAAAAAGAACTTATTTCACACCAACGCCTCACACCACAGTAACTGCGACTTCGGCAGCCCTTGCAATTGCACCGAATGCAGAGGAGCCACTAGAAAACCTGTCTGCGAAATTTGCAAAGCCCGCCCAACCACGAGTCAGTCTTCTACACGGTCCTATGATCGCAAAGGCATTCGGGGCTACGTTTTCACCTCCTTCTGCGACCAGTGCTGGCAGAAGTGGCTCAAAGAAGAAGGAGAGAGATAGAGAGAGAGGAAAGAAAAAAGCTCTCCCTACGCAAGGAGAAAGTGGACAAGATGATGGAGTATGTTAGGGGACTCCACTCAACAGAACGAGTTCCCATCGCCTATGCTGTTGAAAGGCTTATGGGTGAGAGAAAGTCCGTGAACCGTTCTAGCAATTCACGACGGCGGCATCAGCGCAATCTCATAGAGAACCTGTCCCAGGAGCTAGAAATTGCGAAAGTACGGAACAGATACACATGCAACAAACGGCGGGTTGATGCTATAGACTTCAACCTGTGGTATTTCTATTAGTGCCCCGGCTTTTAGTGGCCGATGTCAGCTAGGCTAGAGCGAAGCAGAGAAGATTGTGGACTTTGGAAACAAGAAAACAAGCCGTCACACAGCTAGTAGTTTCTGTGGGGCTTCTAGTAGTACAATCCTACTATCCCCCACTGCGTAGCGAGAACCACACTGTAGCGAGATGAATCTACTATTAATAACTTCTATCGCTAATCTGGTCACTTTCTTCAGCTCAACGAGAATCTACAGAGAGTGTCGGCAAACTGGGAATCTTGGCGTGCGTTGGCAAGCTTTGTACAGCTAACTACACGACTGCTGACATTGGCGCCCTCACTACAGATTCAAGAAAGTGTCGGACATACCTCGGTAGAGCCCGGAAAGTCGCCTTGGGCTAGCTCAACGTTATTAAATCAAGGGTGCGCATGTCGACGGAAGAAAGAGAAAGAGCCGAGCTTTATTCAAAAGCAGTTGAGATCGCCCTTCTGTGCATCGGTACCTTCGACGTCGACCAATGTCACTTGAGCGAAATCCTTCGTGAGCCATCCACAGCGTCGATACTTCTGCAGTGCTCGATCGTGGTGCAAGAGAATAAGGACGTCGTGACGTCCGAGCACGATCTCCTCTACTGTTCGATGCTTCAATCGTGGCGCTACTTGGCTGTTCGGACATGCCCGATGTTGAAAGGTGAAATTGTTAATCGCGGAAGCAACTGCCTTGACGACGCCATAAGTGAATCTTGGTCTGCCTTTGATCCGGCAACTTCCTGGCAACCACTTGGGAGCCCTTACGAACACTAGCTTATGATGAGGCCTTCTCTTGCATGAGCTGAGAAGGGGTCATATGGGAAGCGAGTCGACAAGGTGGTGAGATCCAAACAAGGTGGATTGAACAAGTGTATTGTAAGGTCTGAGGAGCTCGATAGAGCTCTGAGCTGACTATATACTGTACGAGAGAGGAGCTATGCCTAATGAGTGAATAGTGCAGTACATGGGTATGATATCGCCTGAGACACGTGGGATACCTTCATCGACTCGAACCGTGTAAGTAAAGCCTTTCATAGTCCAACTCTTGACTCTGCTCCCATGCATTGCACTCCTCTGCGTTGATGAAAAGGTCAATGTTTCTACGACGCGTCATGCCATTCTAGTACATACTAATGATCTTGTAGCCACTTCAACCTTCTGACTGCGGAGTTACTCGTCGATGGGCTGCCCTTATCACGTCTTCGCCAAGAGTTCATGCTTCATTCGATGTACCCGTTGCTCTTCGGAAAAACCTCTTTAGAGGTCATGCCAGATACCGAGTTTGGACTGAAGTTCTCTGCGAAATATTCCTACAAAGGCTACAAGCTTCGATTCGGAATGAGCAACTCGGACATGCTTGTCACAGCCACACGAGAAGGACAAAAGCTTCAGTCTCCTTCCGCGACGTTTGTTCAGCGGCAAGTTTCCGACAGCATTTGTCGAGAAGCACATCCACTGGTATGACCACAACAACAACGAGGTTGAATTTCGGCCATACAGTGATCCGTGGTCAACCGATTCGAATCACTGGCGCCTGAAGCGGATTGAATCATCTTGGCACTTGACTAAGCCTGGGGTTGCGTTGGTCAACCTATCCAGCAACACTACATCTGTGGTATTGAAAATACTGTCTCCTCTAGAGAACCGACTGCATATCCATGTTGTGTTGGATAGGATATCGGGATCTCTAGATATCGATTTGCCCAGGCTTCAACTAGGCTTCCACCTTGAGCATCGCGGATGCGAAATCCATTCCCGCCAATATCGTGGGATGTACATTGATCCCCATCAAGAACTCGGAACCTTGGTTGGATTTTCTAGCAAATTGATACTGAAACGAGCAAATGGCGAACGTCTGGTGCTGATACCCGAGTGCTCAGTCACGTACTCAAAGACAGTTGATCATGTAATCGTTTACGTTAACGAAGGTACTGTGATAAAAATGCATGCCTACCAGCTCGACAATACTCTTGGAAGACTGGTCGACAACGGCAATCTCCAGAGCAAGCTTTATCTTTGCTATCTTCACGCATTGACGTCCTATTGCCTCCCTGGCCCGTTGACGCGCCACACCGGAACGGAGAGCGCAATATCAATACTGCGATCAGGCGCTGTACGGTCTTTTGATGTTCTAACGGAAGGGAACATACGGATCATGAAGCTCATTGCTGGGTTGATCCCCAAGAGGTCGTACTATCCGCAGAACTTAAGAGTCATGCAACAGATCGAGTGGAATCAGAGCCTTCCGTTTCTGTCTCAGAACTCCATCCTGTATACTTCGGTGATCGGTTTATTTAGTCAGGCACGGACGGGAAGCCTCTTCTATTCCCAAGAAGCCCATTTCGAGCCGCCGACTCTCAAGCTCAGTGAGCTTCACCTCTTGAAGCGAGACTTGATTCGATCGTCAGTCTTTAGCGTCTCGGGGTTTGGTGCAGAGAATTTTAGTCTACAGTGGGACCTGCAGTATCAATCAAGAGATCGGAACCAGACCTCCGCGCGTGGCCAACGAGCGTTTGTAGCGGCCACGCTGGTTCTACGCGATCAAGCAGCGTTGCATGACACCACTTCTTTCAAACGATTTCATAATTTCCGACAGACGTACTTCGGAAAGGGCACCATTCATGGTCCTGACCACATCGTACCCGATTTGAGGTATGATCCATCGTGGTTGAAGGACCCCTCATCGTATTTACCTGCCATATGGTGCGGTTTGCACTCATCCCTGGCTAGCTACGACTGTGGGGATACCAAGTTCGACATTACGATATGGCTTGCGACTGTTGCATTTTCAGACGCGGCGGACATGAGCATGATCGACGCTCGAGTAGCATTCTATAGAATACCAGAACTCAGATCGGTTACCGCCCCTCAAAAAACCAAGTTCCTGCTGTCTGAGGGAGACGTCGCACAACCCTCCCAATTACGGGATATTGCACAAGCTGCATGCCAATCATTCCAAACTTGTCCTGAAGCACATATTCCAAGATTATCATCGGAAATTCAAGAAGAATGCCAAAAGCGAAGGGCGTCCCAGTTTCGGAAGAATCAAGCTGATGCGGTGAGAACATTCACACGAGAGCTCGGAAGCCAATGGCCGTGCGAGAGACCTAGAACGCCAGCCAGTGAAGCCACTACCAGATACATCAAAGTTTCGAAAGCTATGACTGAGGTGTTGGAAAAATTCAAGGTCTGGCACGACAATCTCTGCTTTTACGAGTACCTGGAAAACACTACCGCGATACTTGCACGACAGATCGTTCGCAGAGCATCACCGCCAATCTTCGGCGTTTCTTCGGCAGAACGGCCGCCAGAAGCGCCGCGGCTTCTCGCGGGTCGACTCTGGTTGTGGCTGCTCCTGCGGTGGTTCTTCGGCGTGCACCTCGCGGAATACAGTCTGTCCACTGTACCATTGATACGCTGTGGCAGTCGCCCAGATGGCACCAACGGCTGCAACTGAGCGGACAAAGTGCTGTTGACGGCGCTGGGCATAGGGATGTATCGCTGCGCGTGCCTGGGGGCGGGACTTTGTGGATATGCCTCTGCATGACTGAGCGGGGCGCGACAGGCGGGGAGTGTTGCCGGAAAGACATCATCATGGGTGGCAGAGGAGGCGGATGTGCAGGGCGAGGCAATGGGGGTCGGTTCTGCGATCAGACGACGGACATTCGCAATGCTCGAGACAAGAGACAATGGCCCTAGCAAGCGCGAACGAGCATGCCTGGCGGAAGGTTGACAATGGTCGGCGGTGGCATCGGAGGAAATCTAGAACGTCGCGATTCGATATCGTCGCACGGGCGATACGGAGCGGGGGGTGGAGAGTTCGGAGCAGTGCTCCCCCACGTCACCTGCAGCCAAGCAAGGGTTGGTTTGGTCGCTATTGCTCTTGCTCTTGCTACTTTGTACGCTGGCTGGCCATTGTTGACGCTGCCTCACGAGTCGTGAAGACTGCACGCCCTCTTCCCCACCCTCCTCCAGCATGTACGAGGACTCCTGGTACAATGCATTTGTACCCAGGGCTGCCAAACCCGCAGAGGCGTCCAAGCACCGCCACCGCGAGTCGCTGCTCAAGCAGCCCAATGTAAGCCAATGCCCGCAATTGGGGTACGTGCGGCAGTGTTGATAATTTTCTGTACAGGAGAGCCAGGCTGATGTTGCGCGCGTAGAAGGCATCGTCGAGAGCATCGAAGAGGCGCCAGAAGCCCCCAATGGTCCTGCTGAGGCCACCGTGGCCAGACGCGCCAAGTCCTACAGCGACTTCTACACCGTAGTGCGGGCGCACATCAAGAAGGAACGCGAGCTCGAGAAGAAGAAGTCGCAAGAGAGCGCTAGTACAGAGCTCGAGTTTGCAGAGTGGTATACCAAGGTCAACCATGAGCTGCTCGAAGCCAGCCATGAGGAGTACAAGCTGTACCAGGACCAGCTGCATCAGACGCGGCGCACCTTGACAATGTCATATCCGACACATCCTCGACTGTAGGCATTCTCTCCTCACTGTCAGACTCCTTCAAGGCCGTCGACGCCCAGACCGAGGCCTTCCAGACACAGTGCGAGGGGCTCATAGATGACCAGAAACGCATCACCAAGCTGGCCGATGACATGGAGCAGAACTTGCGCTACTACCTCTATCTCGAACCCATAACGAAACGACTCAATGCTCCAGGCGCGGGCAATATCGTTCGAGGAAAGGAATTCACCGAGATGCTATCAAATCTGGACAATTGTCTCGAATACATGCAGTCACACATAAATTACAAGGAATTAGCTACCTATCGCTCACGGTACTGCTTGCTTCTCACTCGAGGCCTAACTCTGATCCGTGTCCATTTCACCAACGCCCTTCGAGAGATTACTGCCGACGTAGCGAAGCGAATCGCAGATCGCCAATTGAACGACACGACCATATCGGCGTTGCTGTGCGCCAAATTCCATGTCAGAGCTCCTAACCTAAAACATATTAGGCTGGAAATTCAAAAACGTGCGGTGCTTCCAAAAGGAGCAGACCCTAGTTCAGAAGCAGAATACCAGAGCCTGATGAACGAGCTGTATCAGAGCTATTCCGCAACCCATAAGCGGCTAGTCCTGCCAATTGTGACCAAGAAGATTAGCGGAATTGCGCAAGCTCCAAGCTCGTCGAAAGATCTCGTGTCATTTGCACGTAGTAGCATTAGCTACATTCGCGGCATATGTCTAGATGAGTACGACCTGTGGGGCGAGTGGTTTGAGGGAGAAGGAGGGCTATATAACTTCCTCGAGGCAATGTGCGAGTCATTATACGACCATCTACGACCACGGACTATCCACGAGACACAGATACTTAAGCTGTGCGAGCTGTGCACGCTCATTCAGACGCGTTACATGGAGGAGGATGAAGAGGATGCCTCGCCAATTGAGGCCAATAGGCTCCACTTCACCGTCTTGATCCATCCGGCATTGGAAGATGCCCAAACACGTCTCGTATTTCTCTCTCTGGCTACTCTGCGGGACGAAATAGGGCGCTATAAGCCAAAGCCAGAAGATCTGGACTACCCTGCCAGGAACAAGAAACACGCGCTTTATGGTACGCGAACGGGCCCCGCGCTTTCCGGGAAGAGGAATGCGAAATCAGATGTCCCGCCCACACCTCAGATATCTAAGACGCCGACCGTCGTGGAAGAGGATGATCCAGACGCCAAGTACAACTTCAATACCGAAGCAGCATTCAAAGACTGGTACCCTACTCTGCGAGAAGCAATCTGGCTGCTCAGCAAGATATATCGCCTGGTTCATGTAAGCACCATTGTCAGGCCATTGTCCGCTCTCATGCTAACCATCGCAGTCCTCTGTTTTTGATTGGACGTCTGGAAGAAGGACCTCACGTAGTGAACTTAGAAGGCAGCATTACGGCTCAGCAACTCGAAGTTCTGTAAGCCTCAAAGCCAGCATTCTGGCACAGCCCCAGATGAAGACTCATGAAGAATGACCCCGAATTTCTCAAAGACGTATGATTGGATATGTGAAAGAAGGACCTCAAGTAGCGAGCTTGGGGAGGCAACATTACGGCTCAGCAACTCGAACTCGTCGGAAGCCCTCCTCGTGCAGGGTAACACAGCCCCAAGCAGGAACTCACAAAAGAGCAACCCGTAGTTGTTGAAGCTGCGTGATTGGGTATATTGGGTCCGAGTTGCACTTGGCACTTCGCAACACGCGGCGACGCCGCGCAGCAGTCTTGCGCAGCCCTTTGCCTATCCCAATTCGAGCATCACGGACCGACCCGAAGTTCTCGAGGGAGGCTCTATCAGGCGGACACTGACGATTCCACTGACGATGCGTGAGTGCCGGAGCTACCCTTCGAACATTCGACTGCTGCCTAGACCGTCCACAGCCACAGCGCCTGCCGCTCTTGTGTTCTCGCCCCCCTCTCCTCCTCCGCACGACTCCGGCCGAGCCTGCCAAACTACGCCACCCATCGGTATCGGCCGCGTGGCCTGCTGGCAATCCAGCGCAATTCTCTTGTCTTGAACATGTTGTGTAGCATGTAGCGCAAGAGCGAGTAGTAGACACCCATATACACATGACGTAGTAGTACATGAGCATGTGAGGAATGTGCGCTCAGATTGACCGTCATTACGGCTCAGCAAATTCAAGATGCCAAGGTTCAAACAACAGCCTCCGACGTTAGAGTTGGAACTTAGTCAATGCCAAACAGCACAGGCGGTGACCAGATGATCCTCTTATTGGCAGACTTTGGCACAGGCAAGTGGTTGCGGTTGGCCCGATCGACAGACCTGGTTCCTGCCTTGATTTTGACGCATCGACTGTCCTGCAATGGCCTGCACCAGCACCTGTGCGTTCTATCGAGTCGGACGTCATCACGGCTTGGCAGAGATGGGAACAAGCACGGACCCATTGAGATCTGCAACAGCCATCGATGGATTCCGACTTTGAGAGGCAGATGCACACAAGGGGTTGCATAGGGTCAGCAAATTATATCCCTATTGGCAGGCCTCGCATTGACAACGACGAAAGATGCGTCCTCGCAGAGCCGCAGAGACGTTCTGATTATTCCTCAGATGTGTCCTGCGGTGGTGCTGTGAGTGAGAGGAGCACGAGGATGCTTAGAACGGTGGCCGCGTCCAATTCAGTCATAGAGGACTGAAGTGTTGTAACGAGACTGCATACACGTACAGAATGCCCATCGCTGGCAACATTCTCCGTACCTTCCTTCTGCACGCACTGTTGGGACAATGAAACAAGCGAACCGATTCCCACATTGACGATAACGAAGCATTCATGCCTCCTCGGTAACGATTAGGGCCCATTGCATTGATAAACTGCTGAAGACCGTTGGTTCGAGTTGGACGCCATCACGGCTCAGCAATGACGGGCTTACTCACGGATCCTATTGAGGTCTGGGAAGCAAGTGAGGCATTTATTCAAAGGAATGTTGATGCAATAACGCAAAGCCGTCAGTAGATCAGCTTCTCATTGGCACGATTTCGCACGATTTTGCGCAGACTGAAAATTTTTCAGTGAAAGTGAGGCTTCGGGAATGTTCTGGGCCCTCGAGCAGCTAGACCCCTAAGGATCGATCCATTGGGTGCAGCGTCATTACGGACCCCATCGTGCATTGTGCTGAACACTGCACAACTCAACCGAATTTTTGGAAGTTTTGGATGCAAAAGTGCAGAGCGGTAAGTAGATTAGCTTCTCATTGGCAGGCCACGGGCACGGACAGGTGAGCGGAGGCCCAAAGATAGTTCAGCCCCACGTTCCCTATTCCCGTTTCCCCGCTGCCTGGTGTCAGCCCCGAAGATCTTTGGATCGGGTTTAGCTCTGTTACGGCTCAGCACAGAAGGAGGTCCTCACGAGCCCCAATGCGACCGAGGATATTGTAATTTTAGTTGATACTGCCTTCGCAAGTGCGAAAATGTAGATGAGACAAAAAGTTATTCTTCTGATTGGTAGACTTCACCAAAAAGCAAGGATAACCCGTATCCGGGATGAGAGGCGGTGCCGCCGTGGGCGAGTAGGTAGATCAAAATAACGACATATGTACAGTACTCCGTCGTAGCGGCGTTGGGTTGACGTTGATGACTGTCGTTCGAATCCATTTCAAATGTGATGATTCTTGATGGCAGTACGCCGCTTCTTCAACATGGTCGAAAAACAGTTCTGAGCTCTCTTACATGTCGATCGGGCAGGGATATCAGCGCGCTTGGAATGCGCAAACTAGGCAACGACGCTGACCGCTCTCTTAATTCGCTGGTATTCTTCGCATGGCTCGTCGCATGCAGTGAGCGAGAAATACATCTGCGGCATGCAACGCGGTGTGGTGAACTAGCCCGTAGATCAACAACCTTGGCTGTGCGCTGAATGTACGCCGAAGTATTGCTGTTGCATGATCAGCTCAAGTTTCATCTTGCCGAAGAACTTGTCCTACCAAGGAGTCGTGCATCTTATTCTTTTGAAACCCCCCACCGGCAAGTGCTCTTTTCATCTTCTGCCGGTTGAGAACATCACTCTATCATCCGTACGTCAGCCAATCGTAGCGCAAAAAGGACAAATCTGATCATGTCTTACCTGCTCAATTGAGCCTTTCATGAAATACCGCACGCAGACGACTTGCTTCGTCTGTCCTATGCGCTGCGCTCGTGCCATGGCTTGCATTTCGGTGAATGGATTCCACTGAGGCTCAAGATGATAGATGCGTGACGCGATTGTCAAGTTCAAGCTGTTCTCGTTAGCATAGCCATGGTCGCAGGTTTCAAATGCGTGCACAAACCCTTCCGCCCCTGTCCCCAGTGTCATTAACAAGATGTTGGGCCCGAAAAGGGACTTGTACTCTTTCAGAACCTTCAATCTCTGTTTGAGGCTCAAGCTGCCGTGAATGATGCTGTGCCTCAGTCCAGCTCGCTGGAGTAGTCCAGATGCAAGATCGAGAGTCTTCTTCCAAGATGAAAATACGATGCTGATGTCTAGTTAGCTATAGACTGAAAAATCAAAGGAATGTGACAATACCATTTGTGCCGGGGCTCTCTTTGTATGTCGTCCAACAGAGCCAGTAATTTCGAAGGGTATTCGTCCGGAATTTCCTCCACCGCCAGAACGGGAGCATCTGCTCCGATGTGGTTCGCGAATTCTGGTGGGCTTTTGCCCGATGCGCAAAGTCGACAATTTTTCCGTTTGTCCAAGCACTGCGGCAGGCAACTGCGGCATACAAGGTGCTTGCATGACGAGATAAGCACACCGCCCTCTTGCTCTCCAAATTTGTCGATGCAATTGATGGGTTGAGTGCAATTGGAGCACTCATTCTGTCCGAGCTGCTGCAAATACGACAAGACTTCCTCTTCTGACGCTTGCAATTCGTTTTGCATCTTTTTTGGACCATTGTTACAAAACAGGCGCAATTCATGAATCGACTGAAGTGTCGTAGAAACGACTTTTCCCCGAACCCCACTCACTGCCATCTGAATGTGCTTCTTGTAGTGTTCATACAGCTCATCATACCGATACCGCTCCTCTGTCGAAAAGTCAAGGAGCCGCGGTTGCACTATGGGCTCAGGTAAAGCAAGGATCTCCCTTGTGCGCCTTAGACAGACGGTCCTGAGAAGGATCTGAAGATTTTGAAATTGGCTTCCTCGTTCCGGCGATGTAGGGGCAATGATATGCTTACGGAAGACCAGCGCATTTTCCATATGGGGAACTCTGAGAAATGCGATCAGGCTGCCAAGGTCTTCAAGACGGTTCTGTATTGGCGTTCCAGTGAGGCACCACCGACGCTGTGCTCGTAACTCGTGAACTGCCTTGAATTGCTGGGTTGTGCGGTTTCGAATCTTATGCGCTGTTCAACGCTTGTCAGAGAATCATCTGTCGGAGTCTAGATCTCAATACCTTCGTCTAAAACAATGCGGAACCAATGAACTCTCGCCAAAGGCGATGAACCCTTCTTGAAATCTTTCCAGGCTGTCGCAAACGTAGTAAAGACGATGTCTCTTTCTCCCAAAAGCTGCGCTTCAGACTGTCTGTCCCCACCAAGATGCTTGTGAAACGAAATTTTATGCGGATGAGTGTGCCTATGAATGTCAGAACGGGCTGGAGAGCAAGGTCAGGACGTTCCACTTGCATACGGATTTCGTCAATCCAATTGTCAATCAAGACTGTGTCGAGGTTAATTGCTTTCGCTCTGACAGGATTCTTTTCATAGGATGACACGCTTACCAGTGGATGGGACCATAATCAAGGTGGCCCGAGATCGGTTCTGGGCGTGAAGTGGCTCTATTGAGCTCGCTTGGTGGGTTGAAGCAAACTCGGCTGCTTCGCCGAGGGAGCTAGCAATAGCAGACAGTATCGTCAAGGATTTGCCGAGTCCCATATCATCCGCAATAATACCACCTCGGGCTTCGTGCGGTTTGGGAGCTTTCATTCTGGTTAAGATATGAAGAAATCTGCCACACAGTCAATTGAGCTGTTGAAGACTCCAACATTGATATCAGCATACTCTGTCTCCCCAGACACTCGTCTTTCACGCCAGAATGTCAATTGCTCTGGAGGTCGGTCACTCTCTCGCTGGACAACGAAATCCAGGGCCGTCATCTGATGTCTATAGATCATGTTAGTCGAAAACCAGCCTGCGCACAATTCAATGTTCGTACTTCATGAGCTCACTCTTAATCAGGTTAGTGTCAGTGCGAATCTCGTGCAGAATATTTTTATGCGATAGAGAGTCCAATATAAGCTCCACGTGGTCAGTGGAGGCTCCAGATGGCTTCGCATCGCTTTGAATAGAGGTGTCTGCGACCACGGTCGATACTTCGTCCTCCATCGGCTCAGTTGCCACGTCGTCAGGATTCTCCTCGAAACCCTCCAGCTCCAGGATCTGAGGATTATAGTAGTCTTCGTTATCAAAGTGGTGGGCAGGATGTTGTAGGAAAAGATTGGATCGCAGTAGGATGTCACCAACTCTGTCAGCGTGGTTCCTGCGGCTGTATACGCTCACATCTACAGCAAAGGTAGTGCTAATAGCTTGGCCTGAGGAGGATGCCCACCCTCTTCGTATTGTCACCCATTGGGCTCGGTCTACTCGTGCCTGGAAATTGACCCCGAGATCAACAAGACGCCGGGCTTCATCGCAGAAGCTCTTGTCCAGTCGTGCAAATGCGTAGTTGGCATGCGATAGTTCGAAGTAGTCGCCTACTAACGAAACAGTGAGCAGGTCATTTGGTCCAAGTCCTCCAAGAATGGGCTGAGGTGCAAGATACCCCCATGTTTGCCTTCGCAATTGCGCGTTCACATTGACAACCTGACAAAAGTTGTTAGACGAGCTCGGTCAATCTACTCTGTTCCAGCCTTACCGAGCCAAGCAAGCATAATGGTTCGTTGGCCGGTACCGGGCTAAGACCCAACAGGCTTTCCTCGAGCGGCACTTGCTCTTCTTCTCCGAATGGATATGTTCGTTTCAAGGTGTTCTGAGCGTAGTCTAGGTTTTGGTAGTGGTCCATGCCGTATCCATGGTCCATGCAAGGATCGTAGGCCATGGTTTGACTGTGGTGTCTGCCGTCAGTGTACTCCATGCCGCTAGTGTACTCTATGCTGTAGTCGTGCTCCATGCGAGAGGTATATGCTTCGCTCGCAATGTCTCTCACGTCGCTCAGCCAAATCCAAGACCGCCCGACTGAAAGCAAGGCTACCGCCGCGAGATTGGGATGAAGGTCACCTTTGTCCAGCAGCCGGCTCTTCACCTATCACGGATCACAGACGACTCACCGGTGCAACGCATTACTTGGGCTATGCAGGTGGACAGATCGCAGTTGGGCATGTCGCAGGGCAGACGGGCAGCGCCTTTCGGTTGACGCAATGTGGCAGTGCCTGGTTTGAGCGCAAAATTGCCGTCTTTCAGCTGCCACCTGCAACCTGCTGCGTGCGTCTATGAGCACCAGGCGCAAAATATGGATAGATCAAGAGGCTGCCCGCTTTTCATCCTAGGCCAGCATCAATATCAGTTTCCTCCTGGTCCCCAAACGTGCCTGGCCAAGCGCGAACAGATTTTGCACCACAGCGCCCGTAGCAAGCTGCCATGGTCGTTCAAGTCATTGAGAGTCGCTACACCGTCGACTTTGACGTATTAACCGCTCATCTCAAATCTATTTACGACCCAGAACCTTTCGAGGTAATCGTATGTATTTCACAGCTCATGCAACAATGAACAAGAGGGTGTTTCTGACCAAAGCGACGTAGCCACCCGATGAAGGCGAGAAATGGAAGATCAAGGTTCCACGAGAATTGACTCGCGTAGGTGGATCCTGATCCCTCGGAACCCAGCCGTATCTAAGAGGCCTGTTAATGTGAGCAGGACCAGTTGATAGATCTGCAAAGAGAGTTCAAGAAGGCGCTTAAGGCTACCTAGCTGCCTGCATGTGTTAGCCACTGCCCAGATTCGTGGTGGCGAAGCTGCCCATTTAATGCCGACCGGTCAATTTTCGCTGGAAGGAGACGCCTGGACTTACGAACCGTCCTTGACCACAGGCCTGCGTCCGTCTCAGCCGTTACTATCGTGTATCTACTATTCACTGCCTTCGTCTGTAGATTCAAATGTTAATATCTGCACCTCCCAAGGTTTGCCTAACAACAAGTCCACGGAGCTGGTCACAGAAGAAAAGCATGTATCAAAACTCATACCAAACCGGACAAATATATCCTACTGAGCGAGACGAGTATGCGAATTGGGAGACGTACCCTCAGAATCTTCATGTGAGCCCATTAGGGGTAGATGCCTATCGTAGCAGTCATCAAATAGACCGTCTGAGTAAGGAGCTGTTTGTCGCGAATCATGAATCCTCATTTGATTTTCTGGCCATGGACCCACCCAGAGATGGCAAGTATCTTCAGCACATGCTCGCCAATTCTCAATTGACATGTCAACAGATAGCTGCCGCGATGCAGCATGGGAGATTATCCAATCCTTTGAGAGATTGGATGCACTCATGGAGTTGGGACAGGCCACCTCGGTCTTGTGAGTCGATCCGCTTTACAGGGGCGAAAGAGTATGTGTAGATTGACCGATCAGACAGCTCCATTCATCAGAGCTACACATGGAGTCGCCTCTGCATTAGTGAGGAGCATTTCCGTCGCCTTTTTACACGACTTGGAGTGCATCCGGGCTTTTTGGATATCGTTTTCCTGTTCCGCGAAAAGCTGGGACCGGTCGAAGAAGGTTTCAGCTCTGCTTTTGTAGATATCATCCATCCAGCGGTCCACGACATTCAAGTGGGGACAACGCAGGGCTGCAGCTACCGTAGTACTCCCATTTTCGCCATGATATTCGAAGCTAAAGCAAAGCGCAGACATCGGCTATAACATCAAGTACGTCGCGAGACACGGTCGGGCCCTCCCTAATGATCCATTCTCTATTCGAGAGGTTGGTGTATACCAATACTTCTCGTCGGACACTCAGCAAAGCAATTGGGTCCTTCTACAGGCCTCGGATCGGATCAAAGATCGGCTGCGGCGCGCTTTTCAATCTTGTGACGATACTCTGCCAAAGATGCAATTTCTACTTCATTCGATCATTCTCCTAGATGGTTCTGAGGACTGGCGCGAGTATATGATCTATTTGGAAGATGAGTTCACCAAGCTAGTAAGTAGCAAACTGCAATCACTCATCATCCACTGACAGATGTGGGTAGGTCGACAAGGGCTTCTTTACCAATTTGAAGGGCTCGCTGCAGGAAGGGGATCTAATCGCAGACTTTTCCGACCTTAGGAAGCTTCAGATCCTGACCGACAAGCTGCGGCGCCTAGCTCACATATTGAAATTGAACATTCGCCTTGGCAATCTGCTCAAGAGGGACATGGCAAGAATTAAAGCGTCTTCTTCCTCAGATTTGCGCACGAATTGCGACGCGATCCGGCGTAGTCTGGACAAATATGTGCTCGACCAAGAGACGCATTTCGATAGGCTGGAAACGCTAATTGCTCGATCTAGTGGCATCATTCAACTCGTAAGTTCTCTTTCTGCACTTCAGAAGCTGTGTCTGATGGCGCTTCGCACAGGTACAAAGTATACAGGACATTCGATCAGCGGAAGCAAGCCAACAAATCAATCATGAAATGCAGACCTTGACAGAGCAGGGTGTCAAGGAGAACAAACTGATGAAGAGACTCACCGAGCAGTCCACTAGAGACACGAGATCCATGATGACAATCGCTTTAATATCTGCCGTCTTTCTACCCGCCACATTTCTTGCAGTGAGTGTCCCGAGGTTTTGCACATGATGAATGAAGAAATTGACACCCACTATAGACATTGTTCGGATCGAACTTCTTCGTCTACTCGCAACCGGAGAACAGTCTTACCGTAGCCTCCAATTTCTGGGTCTACATTATTTTCACCGCCGCTTTTTCAGGGGCGACTGTTCTTCTCTGGTATATCTGGAGGCAACGCAGGTTACAGCGAGATAAAGAGAACGACATGGAAGCACTGTAACATCGTGAATTCTCGGTTTGATCAACTCTGTGCACTCCTATTTCCGGAGTCCTCTTACGGGCGCGACCTCGAGTGCAGCATTTGGTACCAAGGCTTGCTGAAGGGAATGTCTCGCTCGCGAATTCGTAAAGACTTGCCGCGTGAGGCTTGCACTGTGATTGAGCCGCTCAAAGTCATGCGTACCACTGGGACTTCGTTTGATGGATGATCGCAAACTACTTGCGCAACGACCTACCTTTGAAACCACAAGAAACGACGCACCACAATCCGTTATGTAGCAACAGCGAGCGGATTCTCAGAGAAAAAAAGATCTCTATCCAATCTTTCAAGCTCGGTTGTTGGCCGCATCGAAAGCATACCAGAATGGAATATCAACACCCAAAGCGGGCTTCTCAGACAATAACTAGAAACCAGCCCGCAGGAATGATCAAATACTTACTGCATGGTGGTATGCAGCAATGCAAGGGCTGGCAACAAAGCCTAGCCGCTGAGGGCCGTTCCAACCTTGGCCGCTGAAAATTAGCGCAGCTACTGGCGCCACATTCAACCCTTTCACCAGTCGCTCTCCTCTCCTCCGCAGTCGAACCCACGTCTCGCCCTCCCAAGATATTCTAGATCGTGGATATCGGCATACGCTCACGGGTGTTATGCCTCGAACTGCGAGCTTTGTCTTGAGCGCCTTATCATGGACCGTATTTGTTTTTCCCTGCACGACGTGAAGGCCAGGCGGTCTCGTGGTGCCAGCCAGAACAGGTTAGAAGCAAATCTTCGCGTTGATTACTCGACAGCATTTGCGCCAGGGCGGGGTGTGCGATGGGCTCTGCAGAAACCCTTGCAACGCGGCTGATTTAGCACGCCTGCGTGTTCGCCTGAGACCACCGGTGAGCGAAACCGGTGAGCACAACCAGTGGGCGCAGTCGTTGAGTGCGCATTGCAAGCGGGAAGTGTGTTACTCTTTCCTCCAGCTCTAGGTTGACCTTCCGCAACACGGTAGACACCAATACCAATGGAAACAGTGTCTCCCTGTACTGTCGCCTTCCAATTTCTTGAAGACAACGAAGTGAAGCCGATCAGCGAGTATTTACCACCCGGTAGTGCCTCATCCTACGTACCTGCGCGGAAGATCAGAGCATTATTTGGCAACAACATTGATGGGCTCACGCTCGAAAAGATCTTTCTTTGTCCATGCACGCAATGTAAGAAAGATGGAGGTCCAGAGCAGGAACGCGAGACGCACTTCAATAAACTTAGAGAGGAGGAGCTACGAGGCGACTATGCCCTCATATATGCACTACTAATCTACATTCACCGACCAGGGCTCATTCGAAAGTTCCAGCTCTATGAGAGAAAGCTGCAAGGAACCGAGTACTTGAACGAGGCCAGCTTCGAGGTGTTCCATCGGGAACAGATCGATCGGTTTCATACGATGAAAAGACAAGTCTTAGACACTCAGTACAAATTCCTCGTTCGGAAACTCACAACGCACTCTGACATTACGACCATTTCGAAAAAGGAACTGCTACCGATTAAGGAAGATACAAAGCCCAAGGGGGAGGGTTCGTTCGCAGAAGTCCGGTGTTTCGAATTTCAAGACGATGAATATCGATGTCGTAATTTTGGAGAAGTAGGGCTTCCTTTGTCTCGCCGTTTTGCGATCTGACGTCTGCAGAACGTTAGGAGATTTGCCCGGAAGCTCTTCAAGCAGGGTTTGGTCGTGTCCGCCGCGAAGGAGTGGAACAACCTGCAGAATCTCTCGAAGGGAGAGAATCATGCAAATCTAATGGTAGCACTAGGTGCATACTGGCACGGTAATCAATTCTTCATCTTGCAAGAGGAGGCAGATTTTTCCCTCCACGATTATCTCTTTAGGGGAGAAGGTGCTGAATTTGAGTCTGAAGAGCTATGGAAGCAGATCAAGGGAGTTGCGGACGGCCTGGCCACGCTACACAGGCTTTACGAAGGAACCAGGATCGCGTATCATCAAGATCTGAAACCTGCAAACATTCTGATCGTGAAGGGAATCTTTAAGATTGCAGACTTTGGTTTGCTCGAATTCAAGCCAGTCACGTTGCCTGGCGATACTAGCTCAACAGGTATCCCGAACGCCCACAACACCGGCTACTATGCTGCTCCTCGGCAAGGCAAATATACTCGCGACTCGGATGTATGGTCACTGGGTTGCATCATTTCTGAACTGGCAACCTGCGATATCCGAGGTCGAGACGGGGTCAACCAATACAAAGAAGCTCGCGTTGTCGACGGTGTCTCAGGCAGGAGAGACATTCCACGCTTCTATAGTGGGCAAGTTATTAAGAATGCAGTACTTAATCAGCACAAGACTCTGAACGAGTACATGCAATCGCGAGCACCGACCAACATGGACTCCAGATCTGAGCAGTTCCAAAGAAAATTCTTCACACAGGATTTCTTTGCCCTCTTGAACAGCATGTTCAAATGTGGGCCAGGATATACAGCGCCGAGCGAGGTTGCCGTTCCAGATGCCGGCCATGTTGCTGAAACGATCAAGCGGCTGCGCGAGGAGGCAGTCCCAGCATCGGAGCTGGAAACTCGGATCGAAGAACTCAACTTAGCCCAACATCTGCCGGACCTCATATCAATGAACTCCTCGTTGATGAAACAGCTCGAAAAGTTTAAGCAGGTTCTGACCCGGAGAAACATTTCAAATTTCGCCACGACTCGGCTAGTCCATCTAAAACAGTCTACCATCAATCTTCAGGGAAAGCAAAAGGCAGAAAGGCGGCAAAAGGGCCTCAAGAGAATCAAACCGTTTCTCGATAACTCTGGACACTTTATGGAAGCCATCAAGACGCTTCCTGATTCCAAAGAGCTGATGGGGTTTATTTGGGTAGGTCGGCACCAGTTCGATCGCTTCCACGTTGACATAAAGCTAGGGCCCTGCCAAATTCCTGCTCGAAGTATGTCATATCCGGAGTCGCCCTGGTTGTAGCTGAATGTATAATATAGGAAACAGATCATCGTGAAGAGGCTTTCAGAGACCTTCTTGACATCTATGGCCAAGTCGGAAGGAGTCTACCTTCGTTGTCAATGTTTCAAGCGCTGTTCAGCATTGACCCCGAGCTGGCATGGACGATCTCTACGACGTATCACGATATGATTCAAATAAATACATGGCTTATGATCTATTTCCAGCAGCATCGTAAGTCATCTACCTCGGCCTAGGATCAAGTCCTTCATAACCTAATATGAATCAGTCTGGGGGGAGTTGTTTACAACGACCTGGAGGCGACATAAAGCAAGATTTCAAAGTATCATAGATCGCATGCAATCTCGCTTTGAACTTATCAAAAGACGCGCTACTGTTGCTCAATTTGAAGCCTTCGACAACGCAGCCAGTCTTGAAGATGAAGAAGGTTCTGCTGCTTCAGAAAGCGAGAATTTGACTCGAAGCCAAGCAGCCTACGCATGGCTAAAGCCCGTGGACATGGAAAGCGAACAGGACCACCTAGTTCGAATCCGTCGAGACTTCCCGGACACCTGTCGATGGGTGTTAAGAGATGGCACGTTTCAGGAATGGTTTGACCCGTTGTCTTCGCGAACCTCGTTGCCAAAGTTACTATGGTTGAATGGCAAGCCTGGCGCTGGTAAGTTCACGCGTTTAGCGAGGGTTTGGCATGTCAATAACTGGAGCTGGCTATAGGAAAAACGGTGCTTGCGTCTCTTGTTATAGAGGAAGCAAAGCAGATTCAACCTGCTTGTACGGTCGTATTCTTCTACTTCAAGCATAGAGACAAGGAACGTAACACCTTTCTCTCCATGGCGCGATCTCTTCTCATGCAAGTCCTTCAGCAGAATCGACACGCTCTGGATTACTTCTACAGTAAATGCTGTAACAGCGGAGGTGTCCCTCTTACATCGCTCGCTGCTGTCAAGGACCTCCTTGAATTGGCGCTGAAAAACTGCAATTCGGTGTACATTGTGCTCGACGGCTTGGACGAGTGTCACAACAGAAAAGAGAGAGGAGATATTGTGAGCTGGTTTCGCGAGCTCATCGAAAATCTTTCCCCTGACATAAGCGACCAAATCCGTTGCTTGTTCAGTAGCCAGATTGACAGTGCTCGAAAGGATTTTCGCGACCTTGCGACTATTGCGATGGATGCTGGGAACAATAAAGCAGATATCGAGGTTTTCAGTCAACTGCAGTCGCGCGGGCTTGTAGAAGAGTTACGCATTTCCAACGAGCAGGCGAGTGAAATAGCCAGTCGCGTTTCTATTTTGGCAAATGGTACGTCTGCCTCAAGCAATATCGGACAATACGCTAACGCTATATGCGCTGAAGGTATGTTCCTCTTTGCTCGCCTGTTTTGGGTAAACCTGCGTGGCCAAAGTTCGATCGATAGCCTGGAGCACGAGTTGCGATCCTTCCCAACCGATCTTGACAAGCTGGATGAGATGTAATTGAAAGGACCCTTGTGCGCGTGTGCCATTGGTTGACCAGATTCTAGGTATGCTCGGATAATGCGAACGATCATGGAAAAGCCAGTCCGCGCTCAACGCGAGGAAGCATTAATGCTCCTAGGATGGCTCGTCTCTTCCAAACGATCGCTGAAGATGCACGAGGTGCAGACCATGAAATCAATCGATCTCAATAGAAGAAGTGTCCAATATTCACGGCGGCATTTCCGAGTTCATCTTCAAGACCTTTGCGAATCGCTGGTGGACGTACGTGCCAACAAGACCGTGGAGCTGGTTCACATGACCGCGAGAACGTAAGCGGCGAACACAATTGAGACGGAAAAGTCATGATATGCTGACCATCACCAGCTATCTCGCAAATAGTGGTCATCTGGATGTCCTAGCCCAGGAGCTCCGTATGGCAACGCTCTGCGTCGACTACCTGAACCTGCCATCTTTCAGGCTACCAATCTCGGAGCAAGCTGTGTTGGATGGAGAGTATGGCTTTATGGAGTATGCAGTCAGGTATTGGATTCGACACCTGGAAGCCGGCTTGACACCGCCCCCAGCTCCGCAAGACCAGCTTCATAGAGAGCTTGCTGAATCACTCGAGCTCTTTGTCGGTCAGCATTGGAACGAACCGCCCATTAACAACATTGCAGTTCCGAAGCGCACTCGCGACATGCTCCAGATATTCGTCAAGTGCCAAAATTATCTGGACATCGAGACCGCGGTGTTCCTGACGGACAAAGAAATGAAACACTTCGGTGACGTTAAACCAGAACAATCCGCGCTGGATTTTCCGAGGATAATATCTGCGGTTCGCCGCCAGCTCGAATCCTTCGCAAGGAACTATTCTCAAGAACGCCTTGCTGAGGATCTGGAACCCAAATACGGCATCAATCTGTTCAAATGCTCGAGGTTCAGCTGCAAGTACTTCACGGAAGGGTTCTCTACTCCAGAAGAACGTGAGAAACACATTGAACGACATGAGCGGCCACATCGCTGCACCGACGAGCACTGCAGAGGTTCTAAGATTGGATTCCCGACAAAAGCTCAATTAGATAAACATCTGCGAGAAACTCACCCAGAGGGACTGGAGCGCCAAAATACATTCCCAACGGACGAGGAAATCGAGGAGAGCGTGCGGGAAAATAATACAACTCTTTTCGTAGAGCCCATACCAGAGCCCGAGCCAGAACTTGAACCAGAATCCTGGATCCTCGAGCCAGAACTTGAACCAGAATCCTGGATCCTCGAGCCAGAACCCGAGCCTCTACTTGACATTGAGCCTGCGCCCCCGCCCGACCTCCAACCTGACACTATCCCCTCAGTCCCGGACCCGATTTCCTCGTCTCGCCACCCGAGACCACCCAAGCCCCCACCCACAAAACGCCCTCGAACAAAAGTGTCATACACCTGCGAGCACTGCGGAAAGAACTTTGGCAAGAAATTCAACTGGGAGTCTCACCTCGCGACGCACGGTGGCCCCAGCTCTGAACGACACGCGTGTGCCCACTGCGGGCGGACGTTTCTGCGGCCCAGCGACGTGCGGCGGCATGAGAAAAAGCACAATCCGGATAGCGCGGTGACGTGTGGAGGGATCTTGCCGGATGGGAGGAGGTGGGGGTGTGGGGAGAGGTTTGCGAGGTTGGATGTGTTGAGGACGCATCATAACACGTCGGTGCAAGGGAGGAAATGTGTTGCTGAGAGGGATGAGGGAGGGGGATAGAGCGTATAAGGAGAGCGGCGACAAACGAACTAGTGAACAGCGGCGACAGAGCTTTCGAAGACGCAAGGGCATCTGCAAAAGGTTGTCTATTCTAGCATCATTTTTTGGTCTCGGTATCTTCTTAACTTGCAGCTCCACGCTAGAAGCTCGAATGTAAGATCTCAAGAACTCTATATATAGTTCGGCTGACACGTCTAGAAATGACCGCAAATTGCTGAACGAAGATTCCCAGCTCTTTTCACATATGTACTCAATGCGTATCCCCGAGGAAACCAGTTAAGCCGGGAACTTGACCCATTTGTTCTTTCAACGATCCAAGGGTTTTCGCCGCCCTCATGGCCAACTGCAGCATCATTGAGCCGCCTCAGTTCTTACAGGCAAGAAAATGAGCGGGACAACATCGATTTCCACAGGGAATCGCCCCTAACGGAAACGCACGACGTATTTTATCGTGTTTTATAGTTGATTTAGGATGCATGGACTTTCACAGCGTGATTCCGCCACATGTGGCTGACTGCGCGTGAGTTGTTCAACACACCCACCGCCACATGTAACCAACTTAGCAGATCCACGTGTACCGGTGTGCAGCTAGTTTTGACCGCCCAGAATTCCACAATTTGGGCGGAGAATGTAGAGCCCAAAAAGGCTCCTCACATTGGGTTGCCATACTAATAATAGCTCTCACGTAATGGCATCCTAGCATCGTATATTATAAACTCCTAACTCTCTCATCTGTCGCTAGCTGTAAATCACCATGCCAATTAATTGGAAACCAAACATTCCTATTAGGGAATTCATTAAAAGCCGTCCTCATGCAAAACGAAGGGATGGATTCAAAGGCAAAGTCTTTGGTGAATTGAGTCAGCCGAGGGAAATGATTCCCAAAGCCCTCCAGGACGCAAAGCACAAATCATACGATATTGAAGATTTCTTCTGCTTCAACTTGCAGGGCAGGTAAATGGAGCGAAAGGGCTATCTCAAAAGGATCCGATTGAAGTTAGCCATGAAGGCCTCGAACGACTCAAGACAGATACAGCGCAGGCAGTCCAGACCACATGGAATAATAGCGAGAGAAAAAGCGACGAAACAAAGGACCCTTTCCTAATTAGTTAACGTCCATCCCTGTGGCGGGACGCACGCCGTGACGGAACGCCACCTTTTCATCTTGACATAATAATCTCGACAACGAAATAGGGAGACAGATATTCTCGGGATCGTAACTTTAGACACTAAAATGCAACATTTAATGAAAATCTCCCTAAAATAGCCTCTGGTTACTATGTAATGCCGTGATTTACTGTAAGCTTCCTGCAATAGCTTCACTTTAAACCGCTGTCGATGCGCCGAAACTGCATGCATCCTACTAATCACCCGTCAAGTTGAAGCTTATTGCCTGATGACCAAATCCCGAGCCTTACGATAGCATCTGAGAAGCAATGGTGTCTCTGTGCTAATTTGAACTCGGCCAGCTTAGGGTCGCTCGTCAGTGAGGATCTAATCCTCCAGCCTAAAACAGCTTAACTGTTATTTATCTCTGCTAACATGATTTTCCGCCGTAAATGCGCTGGACGCTTACTTTAAACATGACTCGCACAGGACCTCGCTTGTCGCCCTACCTAGTAGGATAAGAGACAACTTCTTTTTCTATAACAAGATATAGCTATAAAACGCAGTATATAAGTAAGTTATTGTATAATTACTTCTGTCATAATGTATTTCCCTTGGAACGTCTGAGGCTAAGCTTGGCGAATCTACGTAGCAGTTATGATCTATTCGCGCTTTGTCTGCTTGCGCTATTAGGTGTAATGTCTGGAGTAATTTTAGGCGAGTCTTGTGGTTGAGCCACAAGCACCTGCGCATAGTGCTCGTGACATGCATGGGTAGTTGGATGGTCCTCCCCGAGAGTGGTATTGTAGCCAGCGCATGCTCTTTTGTAAAGCGCAGTAGATTCATCATAGCGATGGCGACTTGCAAGAAGATGAGCGAGGCAGTACACGCTCGTCAGCGTGTCCGGATAGTCAACACCAAGCACCTTCTCACTGGTCGCCAGCGTCTGCCTGTGCATCGATTCCGCCTCCAAGTACTTGCCTTGGCTGTCCAGCACTCCTGCCAAGTTGTTTATGGTCGCCAGCGTGGAAGGATGGTCAACACTAAGCACCCTCTCACGCGTCGCCAACGTCTGCCTGTGCATCGATTCCGCCTCCAAGTACTTACCTTGGCTGTCCAGATAGTCGACACCAAGCACCTTTTCACTGGTCGCCAGCGTCTGCCTGTGCATTGATTCCGCTTCCAAGTACCTGCCCAAATCCGCTAAAATAGAGCTAAGAAGTCCTAAGCTAAGAAGTGTGCTAGACTTATTGCTGCCTAAGATCTGCTTTTAAATCCTTAGAGCTTCTAAGACTATGCCCTTAGCTTAACTAAAGAGCCTTGTTGCTATGCGTACTAGCTACTATTTGTTAATAAAGAAGCCTTTGCATCTGTCTCTCTACTGCTCAGCTCTTTCTGCTCTATTATAGGCAATACGTGTGGAAAGAGAGTCTAGCACTTTAGCTAGTTTGCGTACTTGCTGTTAGGGAACTCTTGTGCTATTGCTTAGATAAACGCCTAACGCCATACTGCATCTCTATTAGCTAACTTAAGCCATACTCTGTAAGGCCGGATGTCCTAGAACGGGCTAGTATGGCCTCCCCTGACCTGTTTGGAGGTCACATGATCTGTGCTTCGTATATAAGCGTGAATCCTGACGAGTGAGGCTTGGCAGCGATTCGTCTCTCTTACAATACACTCCTATCTTTCTCCGAAAGCTTGCTCTCAGTGCTATCCGTGCTACCTACTATCCCATCTTTACATTAATGTAAGGCCGAGATGGCGCTTACGTGCGACGGGTATATATACTATTCTGTACGCAATAATTAACTGTTGGTTGATTATTCACACCTTTTTAGTTGTATTGGCGCAGTGGTACAGAGCTCCGTCCTTACATACTCCTTGTAACGGCGCAGGCAAGACAATGGGTCCGAATGCGGTAGGAATCCACTCAGAGGCATATGGGAGTGCGTGGGGACTTAATGACCTGGGAATTCCATTGACACCTATAGGCCTTGTACAAAGGACGAGCAGGCATTAGCCTTCCTTTTCGGAAGCTTAGATGATATAATCAGGCGTCTCGCTTAGCGCACAGGCTAGCATCTAATATACGTCTACTAATTGCCTCTCTTACTTCTTTCCTTTACTATAAAACTTTAACAAAAAACTCTGTGTTAATAATAAGAAAGAGTAAGTATATATAACTAGTCTAATGCTAGCAGATAATAAAATACAACTAACATTAGATAGTAAACAGACTTAACGCTCTCTGCCTAAGCCTTAGTAATCTTAATAGTAAGGAAACTAAAAAAGCTAAGTCTAGTAAAGTAACTACTAACTTCTAATAACAATCTAGCTATATACTATAGGATTATCCTAGATGCTAATATTTTTAATCGCTTTAATTTACGTAAACTAGATTTACTAGTAAAAAACCTCTAACACTAGTAACTCTAATAGCTAATTCTAATAAAATAAAGATAAACACTATCTGTAATAACTAGGTAGTGTAAGGCCGAATGTCTTAGAACAGGCTAGTATAGCCTCCTCTAACCTGTTTAGAGGTCACATGACCTGTGCTTTGTATATAAGCATGAATCCTAACAAGCAAGGCTTAGCAGCAATTTGTCTCTCTTACAATACACTTCTATCTTTCTCTAAAAGCTTGCTCTTAGTGCTATCTATGCTACCTACTATCCTATCTTTACATTTAAATTGCTCTACAAGCTAGCATACTGCTTAAGGGCAACATTTTTACATAATAGTGTTAAAGTAAAACGCTAGAGAAGAATTAGATGCAACTAGCGCTTAAAGACTACTTAAAAAGCTAACTAAGACTACTGCTTTTAGTAATACTTAACTAGAATTAATACTAACATAAAGAGAAATAAAGTAAGAGATAAGTAAAAAAGATAATAAATTTTTTTTTATAAATTAGGCTTGTTAAGCTATCTAGAAGGCGTTTAGGGCCTAGAAGAGGTTAGAAGGGCTAGTGCAGAACTAAGCAACGCACAGTCCACCCTTGTAAATTAGGCTTTAGCAGAAGCCTACGCCTAGCTACAAGAGCAGTAGAAAGCGTAAGAACTAGCTAAGATAATAAAAATTTATTATTAATTTAAGGCAGGTAATATAAGCGCGCTAATTGCGCACTGTTGCCTGTTTTCATCCTCTTTACTGTACAAAGATGCAGCTATATAGTCTATGTTACTTAAGTAGCACTTCTTACATCTTAACTTTATTATTAAATTAGTGTATAAAGTGTGTTTAAAAGAGAAGTAAGTGTAACACTTTTATTTTAGACGCAGCCTAAGATTACTTAAAAAGAGAGTAAAAAAAGCTCTTTTATAAGTTAAATAGTGCTTAGGTTAAGTGTAAAGATAGGATGGTAAGTAGCATAGATAGCACTAAGAGCACGCTTTTAGAGAAAGATAGGAGTGTATTATAAGAAAGACAAATTGCTGCTAAGCCTTACTTGTTAGGATTTATGCTTATATATAAAGCACAGGTTATATAACCTCTAAACAGGTTAGGTGAGGCTATATGTTACAGCCAACAGTCAGACCGTAATGACCCAACTGGCTGTTCCCCACAGCCCAGGCGACGTCAGATGGAAAACGCTTACCTCCGCGCCAAGCGAATCACGTGACAGGACGGATGAGGAATGGCTTCAGCTTTTAGACAAAAGCCTCGCGGAATGCATCATCCAATAGGATGTACAGGCTTGCAGGCTTGCAGGCTATGCAGGCTGTATAAGAATGAGCATGCAAGCATGCAGAGCATGCAAACCTTATGTATATAGTTTTAATCACAACTATAGTTAGAAGGTTATAATTACTAGTTAGTTTATTATCTACTCTTACTTATTTAATAAACTAAGAAGCATTAAAACCTTTAAAATAAGAACACTACTAATTTGTATATCTTGCACTATATATACCTCTATTCCTATCCCTATAGATTAGGTTTACTAGCTCCCTATACAGCTGCTAGGTTAAACTACAAGCCTGCCTACTCTAACTCCTCCTAGTCCCTTACTCTGCTTAGCAAACTGTACACTTAATCTAGCTAAGTTCTCCCACCTTTGCTAAATACTATTATAGGCTAACGTACTCCTAAAAACACTATTTTGCTAGAGTAAAGATTATAACAGTAATTACTGCTACCTGTAAAGTATAGCCCCTTACATCTCCTCCTTTAATACTAGTATAACAGGAGCTAGTGCTGCTAGCACTAGCAAAGTCCTGTCTAGAAATAAAAAAAAACAAAACTAATAAATACAACATCTTTAACATAAGATTAAAATGCTAAAGAATTAACTCTAATAATATGCCTAGCTACTCTAAACACAACAGCTACACACACTTTACATAAAGGTAGCTAAACTCTAAAATATAGTAAAAGAAAAAATAAGTATTAAGTTAAAGAAGTTTTTACACCTGGCCCTACTAAAACCTTTTAATAGAATAGTAAAGGATCTTAAACTATTCTTTACTTAATGCTACTTATACATGTAGTATAACAAGGGCGCCTTTTAAACTAATAAGGAAATAATTTCCTAGATAGGACTACATCTTAAAGAATCCTTAGCTATATAGTTTTAACTACATGCTAATAACTAGATAAAGCATAAAACTATAAAAAAAGTACCTTTTATTAAAACATAAATAATCTTTAAAGACCTTAACTTTTTTAAGTAAGCTTTTACTACTATCTACAGATAACTAAATTAGAAGGAAAAGGTAGTTAATAGAATAAACACTTTATAACAAAAAAAAGGTACAGTCTAATTATACGCAGCCTACTTCCGCAAACAACTAGCTATTAGTAAATAAACAGACTAGTTAGTAATTAGAAGAATGTTTTATAAAAGACTATTTAATAAAGTTAAGAATAAATTTATGCACAGCAGTAAGCTAGATGCATTTAAGGAATACATTAAAAAGGTAATAACATATAATAAAAGATATTAAGAATGTTTTAAAGAAAAACACCTTAGCATAACATTCTAGAAACCTAAGGTGTTTTAGAAAAAGAAAAAAAGCTAAAAGTTTAACAGCAAACTTATAGACCTTAGTTATACTAAACATACATAGAGCTTACCTAAAAAAAAAAGTAAGTACTGTAAGAGCAAGAAGCTGCTATTAACTACAGAATAATAAAAGTAGCTTAAAAAAAGAGTGTGCCTTAACTATAAAAAAGTAGAACACTACTAATGTAAGTGCCTAGACTCTAGTAACTAGAAGAATAAAGAAAAAGAACTAACTATAAAAGCAATGCATATAGAACAGGGTCTAACAGAACAAGAGATCCTAGATAGACTAGACAAACATCTCTACTAGTAATATAGAGACAACTACAAATCTAAAGAATGCTCTATAAAATACTAGGAAGTTAAAGTAAGAGATAACAATAAAGTCTTTAGGGCACTAGAATAGGCTGCTACTTATAAAGAATAGCAAGGCTACACCTAAGCTGCAACATATATTGTAAATGTTAAAAAAAGAAAAGAAAAGTTTTTTTTAAAACAACTAATAATAAAAATCTCTACTTAAGAACTAAAATACTAATTTACCTACAGCAACTACTAGAAATGTAGTAATACACATAACATATAAAGCTGTAAAAAGTTAATGTACAAAGTACATATTAATAATAATGTTAAAACTTATAGTATACTAAAGAAAATTACTAAAACATAATATGCAGTTATAAACACTAAGAAGTAATAGAAAATGTTCTAAAAAATTTTTAATAATAAAAAAGGCTCTAACTAGCAGTGTACACTACTATTAACACCTAATCTATGTAAAGAACAAACTAATACACCTCTCCCTACACTAGCTGTTACCTGCAAAGACCTAGAGACCTAATAAAATAAAAGATACTATATTCCCTACAGAAGTAAGTAACATAATAAGTTCTATTGCACATACTAAAGTTACTTGTTGTAAATAATAAAAACTAAGGAGTACCTAAGGTAGACACAGGTCTAGCTAATACTAGCGTAAAACAACCTTAAAGAGTGCCTCTATACCTAGTACCTGTGTAGTAACAAGTACTGTATTAAACACTAGCTAACTAAGCATAGAGCCGGCTAGTGGCCACACAGGATACAAGAAAGCGCACCTAAAAATAACACGCTATCTAGCATAGCATTAACCTGCAAAATGCTACAGTGCCTCTATTGCTAAAACAGCATAGGCCATAAACAAGAACTATAGACAGAATGCAATAATAAACTAGCATGTACGTTTTATTACTTCTAATAAAGAGCACACTAGCAGAATAACT